GTAGTACATATGCCAGGCCTGTAGATGGTGCTGTTCTCACAGAATCAGCCCATGCAAAGACAGTGTTAAATTGAGCGTAATGAGGAATGGCTAAAATGCATGATCTGTTTGGTATTTTGAAAAATAAAAAGTATAAATATGCCTTATATAGGTATGGTCCTACACTTATTATTCAAATATAGCATGATAGGTCCACTTTAAAAAAAGTTGTTCACACTTTTATTACTGCTTGTACTAGTATTTACCGGTATATGTTTTATAGTAGTAGGTTGGTTTATTATATTGTAACCTAACCTCTAGTATTTTAATCTTGTATTCTACACACATTGTATACAGCAGATGTTTTTTACACATAACATTACGTGAATATGAGAGAAGAAAAACGTAGTAAAAAGGTCATTCTCACAATGACTTACTAAAGGGGCAACTAGAAGGTGAGTTATGTCATTCATAACCGCCTATTATCTACACACATTATGTACAACATCATGTTTCTATTTTCATCATTATCATTCTTGTATTTGCCTTGTTGCAGGGAGTATAGGTGACTAATGGATCCTAACATAAACAAAATCTAAAAACTATGCAGATAGGTGAGAATCTGTGTAAAATTAAATCAGTCATTATCAACGAGATGTTACGTGATTGCTGTTATGTGTGCATGTTCTGAATAGACACATAAAAACAAGGCATATTCATCTGTATAATTCTATGGCTCTTTCTGAATGCCCAGCAGATGGCAGGCTTCCTTCATGAAGCACTATGAGATTCTTAGAAACAGTTTCTGCTTCTGTTCTGCTCTTCAATGGTTCATAACATATTATTTCTGTACACTTTACCCTTGAATTGCGATTGCAGGTTTCTTGCATACAGCAGGCACACAATATTACGTTCAGCAAACTACAGCTCGAAAAGTCACCAGTGCCTGAGTTATTCTCAGCTTCAGAGAGATATTATGTGTTGCAGAACCCTTGCTCTCTATTTCAAATGAAGATGTTGTATTGGTATTATTTATTTTTTATGAAAGAAAATTACAAAATGATTCACTTTGCAGAAAAATAGGAAATGTGTTCATTACAGCCAGAGCTGTCTCACAGCTGGAGTGAAATTGGGCGACGGTTACTGACTTCCTGTAGCCAGCGGGACTGTGACAGCAATAACACGAGAAAATTATCTCCAAAGTGTCTGCTGGTGGGAGGAAAATAATGAGTCCTCAAATTATTTGAATTCTCTAAAAGCCATGGGCTGTGCACTGACTGCTAACGCCTTCCTTGGCGCCAGCAATAACAATGAGGGTGTGAGAGATAACATTCTAGGCCAAAAATGGTCATTGGAGCTTGTGTAGTTTCAGAGATGAGGTTTTCTGTTCTGAGAGTGATGCAGGCCATTGTTGTGGGTCGAGTTGAGTTTGATTAAACCCATCAAGTCTGCAGCCTGACCAGACAATAACACAGTGAACACCCTGCATTATGACAGAGACCCCTCCCCCACCTTAACACACCACCACCACCTCATCATCATCATTACCAAGATTGTATTCCTCCCACTTTTTCTGAATCACCCTAACATCCTCTTCCTCACATCAACATTGTTAATGCCATGTTCACGGTTCAAATAGTGCAAGTGAGTACAAACTTCCATTTAGAGCTACAACCAGAACAAGAGTGAACGTGTGTGGTTAGCTCTGTGTCTCCTGTCCAATAGAGCTGCAATTAACAATCATTTTCCTTATTGATTAACCTTTAAATTAATTGTTTGGTCTATAAAATGCAAGAAAGCGTGCTCAACCATCATAGTTAACCTGTAATTGGGGGGTCAGTATTAGTGGAAGAAGTATTCAGATCCTTTACACATTATTACATGAGTACATTATCAATATAACAATACAAAAATACTGCTAAAGACAAACAAATCCTAGAACATACAAGAATATTATCAGCAATATGTAGTTAAAATATATACAAATATTTGTTCTGCAGAAAGTTTGTACCTGACTGACATATCAATACATATCACAGTAACACAATTACAATTTGGACACCGATAAGCAAGGTCAGTGTTGAAGCTGTTTCCCTATTTAATGATTTCATAAGAAAGTCTCCAAATGTATCTCTAAAAGGACTCTCATGAAACACACAAGAGAATGGGGTTCAAGGGTTTAAAATGCTTTAGTATTTATTGTTGAAGCAGGTTCAAGATCTCTGGATCTCTTTCCAGACAGACAGGCTTCTAAATAAGTGGTTGTGGAATAAATGGTGTGTGCCGTGCAGGCTGGCAGGCGGGATGGATGTCTGCACGCCTGATAGTTTTATAGTTCAGGATAGACTTCTGCTCCATAGTCCTCAACACATACCACAATGAAGCTTTCCTACTGCCATAACCACATACAGAGTGAGGATGGGTATAAAGAGACACACTTTAACATTCACATTAGCCTACATGCGACTTCCGATTTTACCCAAATGTATGGTTCAATGTTTAATTAGTGCTGCACATGCACTGCAATATTCCCAGCATCACAAACAGATGGAAAGACACGGGGAGATTTCCGCTGATGAACATCGGGAGAAGCTAAATGAGACGGAGCAGAAAGACTGAATGAATGATTTGAAACAGAAAGCGGCTGATTGGAGAAACAGGAGAGAGTAGGAAAAAGAGGAAGAGGAGGGTTTGAATGAGTCAACAGCCCTAAAACGCAGCAACCGGATTGTAAGGAAAAGTGATGCATAGAAAGAGAGGGGGCAGAGGATGGTATCGACTGTGTCATTCTTTCGGTGGGGGAGGGAGGGAAGGAAGGGTGGAGCCCAAACCGCTGCATGGAGAGAGGGAGAGATGGGTAGGGGAGGCACTGGGGTAAAGAGAGAGAGGGTGATGCACTATGGAGGGAGGCACAGCCAGGCAGAAGGAAAGAGGTCAGGAGGGGGTTGGGAGGAGGAGGAGGAGGTGCAGGAGAGGGTCATTACTCGGGGGTGGGGGCAGCAGGAGGAGAGAGGAGAGGGGAGAGAGGAGAGGATGAGGGAGGATTGAGACAGGGGATGGGAGGGGGAAGGGTGGAGAGAGATTGAGTCAAAGGGACAGGCACGTGAGGGAGATTTTTAGAATTGTATTACATCTCTTTTCTTCTTTGGCTCTCATTATTATATGAACTGTACCAAACATTCGATTGGATAAATACATGGTGTCTGGGGTTGAGTGTGAAGATGATGTGTCATCTGACACTTTGATGTCAAACATGGCTTGATATTGTACTTATGTTAATAAAGCATGAATTTGTATTTGAGAGCAAGAGAATGGGAGGGGGGGTTTACAATTAAAGGGAGATAAGAGGGAGTGAGCGAGAGGGAAGCCATGGGACCTGGAGGTAGAAAAGCATGGCAGTGTGTGTGTGAGTGTGTGTCAGGAGTATTCATGCATAGAGGCGAAGGCCAACCTAATTCCTGCCGCCTTGACACAAATCCCCCCTCAGCAGCGAGACCTCCATCTCTGCATCCCTCCATCCCCGCCCGGACACACACTGAGGGACGCCTGCTCTCCCCCTCAGCCTCCCTGCTCTCCCCCTCAGCCTCCCTCACGCCTATTCTTTGGATTTTTCTCATTTCTCTGTCCGCGCCTGCCTCTATCTATTTTTGATTTTCTGTCTTCCAGAAGCAAAATGCATCCTCTACCTCTATTCCCTGCGGCAATGTGTCCTGGCTCTCTTTTTCTCTATCCCCACATAACATGTCGCTATCACACTACATGGTACTGTAACAGGGAAACCGCAGTCTGAACAATGTGTTGTTTTGTGCAGCGGGTTATTGTTGAAGGTCACGAAATCCAATGTTTGTCCTCTTAGTTCAAGGGAAACAAATCTTAAAGAAAGATATTTTTCTCATCAATTTCTTATTTTAATAAATCTGAACATTCAGCTGGAGTTAAAACTGTTTTGTTAATTTGCGGTTTTTTCTACACATTTTCTGGGGCTTTTATGCTACTGGACAGCGTGATTTCAGACAATAGTGTGTCAGAATGTTTGAGAGGGCTTCACTGTTCCAACATTATCATTTCATGCTGTCGTATGTCATTGTTCAGCAATGATATACGTATGTAAGGTTTGGATGTCAAAGTTTTGACGATGTGTACGACATCCTCTGCTTCAGATGTTTCTAACCCTGATCCCGGACGTCCGCCTGCATGTCATGCAAATTGTGGACGAGGTTCAACATGTGTATAGTGCCAAGTCACTGCATGTGTTTTATTTCACATTACATCTGGCATTGTGACCATCTTGAAATACCCGAATATCCAAATAACATTGCAGCCTTCTAAATCCTTCTTTACCCCACATTTTCTTCCCAAATCTTGGAGACTGACCCTTTTCTCTCTTCCTGTTTCTTGTCTCTTTCTTTTTTGTATCTCAGAACAACAAAGTCTTTAGCCTTCCCCTCTGT